ATGTAGATTGTTGCACCATTATTTGCTTTCCCTTGCATGCTGAGCTTGAATGAATGATGTATGGTTGCAAACCAGTCTGTCAGTCTGTTATTGTAGTGACATTTTGCAAACATGACAATGAACAAAAAATAAGTGCTTTACATCAGGCAGGTTGAATGCAAACTAAACTCAAATGAACTACACTACGGTGGCATAACTTCAATGTCACCATCATTAAGCTTATGACAACTCTTTCAGTTTTTATTTTAAAACAATTTCCCTTAAAGTTTGAGTTAGAATAGTTTGCAAAAGTGTTATAAACACAACAAGGCTGTGAAAGTGGACTAGTCAATGATATGTTCAGTATGGAGTACCACAAGGCTCAGTACTAGGACCGTTGCTTTTCGCACATGCTACCATTGGGGAATATCATTAGCAAGCATGGCTTTAGTTTTCACTGTTACGCTGATAATATTTTATGAAGTACGTGAAAATATCTTGAGCACCACAAACCTTATTTCAGGCATTTAACTAAAAACCCATTGACTTCAGGATGATGAAACCGTAAGTGCTTAAATGCAAGTTAATTCCAGATTTTGACCTACAAAAATACATACATCATCCGTGCAGCCTAGACCTTATGCCTGCGGTTAAAGGTCTGGCACGTCGTGACAAACGGTGCCCGGAAAAAGTAGGATGCGTGGGTTTCAGTGTCCGTCTCGCTTCATAGAGCAGGTGAGCAGCAGATTGCGTGATCCTATGTTACGCTAACCACAGGCTGTGGGGAAAATACATTAGCAAAACTTCTTCAGGAATTAAAAAATGAATGAGGCCTGCAGTGATTCTGAGGCATATGCGTGACAGGCATGGATTCAACATTCACACCATTCTTTCCTCGGACGCATAACTCAGGAAAATATATTGAGTGATGTGGATTGAATTCTCTGTAGAAATGTGAGGCTTAATGAATGCATAATTTCCAGTGGCATCTGCATTTGGGGGACTGTGGTGCATCATTATGAACGCTTTTTAAAGAATGATATAATATGTTTACAAAATACACTTCTTATATGTTCCTCACACATGACGGAGGTGTTTTTGTGGAACTTTAATTGATACTTACTGTGTGTAAAGCTGTTATATTACTGTAGTCATTTCAGAACAAAGAAATAAATAAACTGTCTAAAGCGGTATTTGTGGGCTGCTAAAAACATCCATTTCATTAATAATATAAAATATATATTATATCTTCGTCTTTGCGACAAAAGGCAGTATATAGGCTACATTAGATATAAAGTTTATACGGGTGAAACTCGTATAAAAATAAATATTGTGCAAAAGTTCAACTTAAAAGTTGGGCTAATTCAACTTAAAAGGTGAAACTAATATATTATATATACTAATTACATGCAAAGTGATATATTTCAAGCCTTTGTTATAATGTTGATTATAATTTACATCTTATGAAAACCCCAAATTCAAAATTAGAATATTGTGAAGAGTTTCATAGCTGTAAGCCGTAATCATCTAAAATGAGAACTAATAAAGGCTTGAAATATCTCACTTCGCGTGTAATGAGTCTATAGAACATATTAGTTTCACCTTTTAAGTTACTGAAACAAATGAACTTTTGCACAATATTCTAATTGTTCGGGTTTCCCCTATATGCTACAGTAATGTTATCTTCTCCTAGGGTAGTAAGGAGGGACATGCTTGGGCTTGTATTCAAGGAAGGATCGTGCACATTCTCATGTTGTGAGCATTGTGAGGACACAATTGTATTGCGGCTATTGCAGAGAATGTTAATGGAGCAACCCGACGTCCAGCAGATTTCACCTCCAGCCTGCCCTCAAGCATGCCTGCCTGAAAGTTAGCAATACTGAATCTTAGTTAGTATGGATTTTTAAAGAAATTTGTACAGCTTCCAAGTCAAAACTAAACGAATGCGATAAAAGTGTAAACGGAAACGGAAGAAAGTTGAGTTACAATGTTAAAGGTACAATATGTAAGAATTTTGTAAAATCACTTGCACAGTGTGATATATTTCCTGCAGTTGTGTACTTAAAATATCCCAATAGTTTCCAAAGATTTTTTATTTCAGAGAAATTCCAATTTTAAATAAGTGGCTGTCCCTGAGAAAAATGTCGCCTGTCAGTGACGCAATATCCGCGCTATCATCGGTTTCCGCTCATACTGCCATAGCCTGACATAACCCGTGGTGTGACCGTCGTGGACAACTGCATAGTGCGTAACGTTTAGCGGCACGCAGTTCTTGTTTCTTTCAAACATAGAACATGGCAAGCAAACTTTGGGACAAACAAGGAGAGCTAAAATGAGGATCAACATCAGCGTGGCGTTTTTGAGATGCCGAGAGCTAGCGTCCGCGACTAACTTGGATTCGACAGAGTTTCACGAGTCACGACTTGACAGCTTTATTAGACAGGTGAGCAAATTTACATAAAACATATCAATGTTGGCCTATGTTAGATGATGAAATGTTAGATTATGGTTAGTACAGTATGTTATTCTAATGTTTCGTATAGCAAACGAACTAACACGTAGTATAACATTATAACTTTCAACACGCATTTAAATGCTGTTTAGTGTGATAGTGTAACGTTAGACCAATGAAGCAGCGCTGCGTTACCTCAAAAGATTAATTCGTCTAATAAACTGACTTGCGGGTAAGTTCGGTAGAATTAAATGTCCGTTATGACCACGAGACTCGTGTGTGATATCTGTCTCTTTAGCAATCGTGACCTTCACACCACTTGTTTGCAATGTTTGCACTCATACCCATAAACATTATTAGATCCATCAGCTTGACAGCAAATCTCATCATTCAGCTCATCACTGCATCATCAACCTACGCCTTTGTTATTGTTGGAAACTGCGCCCTCTTGTGGCGAAAAAATCTTACATATTGTGGGGTCTAAGGTGTTTTGGGATCCTTGAGATGTTTTGACCTGCCCTGACATTTGTGCTATTTTTCAGTTGCATATACACATATTAATGGCACAGGTGAAATTACACTCTATTTAGCACAAACAGGGCTACCATAATATGTGAGCAACAAGTTTCTGAAAAAAGGCCACAAAACGCATACTAAATATGCGTCCACAATTCTTTGGACTAATGGAAGTTGTCACCTGGAGATTTTTCTTCAAAATGATCAGAAAATCATCCTGCCTAATCATTCACATAACACAATAAATTCTTTTAAATCGTGAAAAACATTTTTTGTTTGCCAAGGCAATATGTGAATGGGCGTCACGGCCCAGCCCCATTGTGAATAATTAGTTGGTTCACACCTGAGAAATCAAAGACCTGCATAATAATGAGCCTTTCATTCAGGTCATATATGAAGAGTTCAGGCGCAAAAGCCTCTATAAGTGTCATTTGAAATTTTATATACATATATAAAATCAAAATCAGATGGAAGTTAAATGAGATGGAAATGTAGTCAGATCAGTAATGTTTGCCACTGTAATTTTCTTTATATATATATTTTTTATTGACATAATTATATAATTATGGGCCAAGCACTAAAGGTTCTGTAGTCCCTATTTTAATTTTTAGTTCTCTTATTATCATCATTATTCCTCCCTAATGGGAGTTCACGGCAGCCTGCACTCTGTCCGCTTTCACAGGTAAGGTTTATAACTCATGAATAAATGTTTAAGGAACATAATTAATATTGGAATGCATTAATTAATAATATCTCATGAATAAACAAGTTGTTGCCTTCTGCATCACAACCTGTCCGACGTAAGAAAAGTGACGCAACACCCTTCCGTCTCACTACAATAGAATATTTCGGCTGCATCATGATTAAATTATGAATCTGATTTTGATTCAAATAAGTATGAATGATTTATTAAGCATTTATAACATGCGTGTTAAAAAGGTTCATGTGTAAATGTCCCCATTTTATAATGATGCGGTTATTACGGTCTAAAAATTATTTTTAATGCAAACATGTTCCTGTTATATTATGTTGGGATTTGGAGTTTTGCATGTTTCTGCTGCAAAAGTTAAAAGTAAATACTGAGTAATTTTACTGATTGATTTTAAATTAATTATTGCTCACTGTAAAAAATATTTTCAAGATTTGTTATCACAACATATTTTCTTTTGTCAAATCAACTTTATAATTATTTATTCAGTTGAGATAACTTATTATTTTGAGTTTCTGATGATTAAATTAATCTCCTTCATTGTATTAACTCACTTTTTCCAGTTCAATCAACTTAAAATTTTAAGGCAACCAGGTTACTTACTTTTTTAAGTTAAACCAACAATATTTTTTTTTTACAGTGTAGTAATAAGAACATTTTTTCTTTTGTCAAATCAACTTAAATAATTTATTTAGTTCAGATAACATATAATTTTAAGTTTCGGATGATTAAATCATTCTCCTTCATTGTATTAACTCACTTTTTCCAGTTCAATGAACTTAAAATTTTAAGGCAACCAGGTTACTTACTTTTTTTTAAACCAACAATATTTTTTTTACAGTGTTGTTAGATACAATATTATATTTGTATGCTGCCTGGAAGTGTGTCCATTTAATCTAGATACTATAGCTGTGAGCAATCCTGTAGAAAGTGCAGCTTATCTGTGTTAATATAGGCCTAGACTCTAAAACCTTGATTTTATCCTATTTTACCTAAATTAAAAATACCAAGATAATAACAATATGACAGAATTGCATTACATGGCCATTTAGTCAACAGTCACAAATATTGTTATTGACCTTTAAGCTTCTGAAAAGTTGAAGATCCTCGATCATCCTGAGTTCAGCTCGACACGGCCTCGACTCACGCTTGAGGTTTTCCAGTTTAACACTAGATGGCAGTATTATAAAGGTTGCATGTGATGTTTTAGAAGCTTTATAAAACCGGCAAATAGGATGACAAGAAAATGCTTGCTGGCATTATGCATCTTCATTTATGTACACACATTATGACTTAAACATTCATCATTCAACATAAAACCAAAATTATGCACATTATATCCGGTAAAGTTTTGGTAATGTTTATTGTGTAATTGTCCAATAATCTTTAAAACAGTGGAAAACGCTTTGAGATATGGGCTAGAAGACTAATCAAAATGTGTTTGGCTCACTGATTAACTGTCTGAGAATATTATGATTCTTTAGATTTGTTAATTAACTGGGATCAACACACATTCTTAGATCAAGAAACAATAATAGTGATTTTTAAAAACTTTTTCGTAAACAAGTCATTTTTATACAGCAATCGAAACAAAACATACTTTTATGTTTTATAAAGGAAAAAAAAATACTTTCGAGCTCTTATAAGAAAGAGGTCCATAGAAAAAGATGTACAGTACCACACACACACACACACACACACACACACACACACACACACACACTTACTTGGTTGTAATAAAGTACTTGTTTTCTAATTATGTTGGTTTTTCAGATCTCTACCATTTATATTTTCAGACTGAATAAAAGTTGAAAGGGATTAATGACATATATTGTCAAACCAGTGCCACTTCCTCCTCATCGTCATCTTCATCATCATAGTAGCGATTCCTCTTGATCATCTCCTCCACGGTCAGGGCCTCCTCCCCGTCCCAGAAGCCCACGTCCTGGGACTTCCGATGGGCTTTTTCTTCCACGGATGTGTCCTGGAGCTCAGGAGAAGTCGTGGATGTTTTCTCCTCTTCTTCCACACGAGCTCTCGAAGGCCTCTGCTGTTGGAGCTCGGGCTCGTCTTTTGTTAGTTTTGGCTGAGACTCCTCATTTCTTTGTTGTAGATCAGTTTGTTTAGGATGAATTTCCTCTGGCTCTTTTTTTGTTGGTTTTGGCTGAGACTCCTCATTTGTTTGTTTGGGAGCAGCCTCTTTTTGGGTTGGTTGTGTCACTTTGAGAATGGAAGAGGGCATCTTCTCCTTCCTCTCCATTTTCACAGGAATATCCTCTTTGAATAGGCTGTCGGTGTCCTTTGTCTTTTTATCTGGGATTTTCACCTCTTTATCTGGGATTTTGACTTCAGTTTTGGCCTTTGACAGCGAGCGAAGCTCCTCCAGCGAGCCTCGTCTGACTGCGGGCACCTCTTGCTGTGGTTTATTGGTTGATGTCAGGCTTGGAGCCACAGAAAAGGGCCGGCTGCGCTCTCTGAGAGACGAGCTTCGCCTCAGGCTTTTCAGTTCTGCTCTCTCTGAGCTCTTCTGAGCTGGTGGAGCTTCTTCCTCCGGAGGCCACTTTGCTCGGAAAAGCTTGGTTGGATTCTTCCCGACTTCAGCGACTGGACTGGACACTTTGGCGCTTCCATCGTTGTCCGCAGGAGGTGGCCACGCAACTCTCAGTTTTCTGGTTTCCACAGAGGCGGTGTGTGGTTTTTCCGTGGAGCTGGTCACATGACTCCTGGTCTCTTGAGCTGCAGTCACGTCAGTGTATTTGGCTGGTTGTGACTCCTCCGCTTTGGGCTTTGGTTGTACTTTTGGTTGATCATGTACTTTTGGTTGTTTGGTGTTCACAGGCTCTGCCTCAGAGGGCTTTGAGTTTTCACTCCCCTCGGGTCCCTCGTCGTTTGCTCGTGGTGTCCACATTTCCTTGTGCGGTCGGTGGCCGAAGCCCTCATCATAGTTGCCCTTAGATTTGAAGAGCTGACTGAAGTGAGGTTTGCAGTAGATGCTGCCATGCAGGGAAGCATAAGACAGCAAGCTGAAATGACAAGGACACTTTATTTTTACATGCAGGATATCTCAAATCTACGGAGGCGTATTGCATTCACATGAAGAAAAAAAATCTACTCTGTTTTTCTGAATTAATGAGTTAATTTTTCATGAGAAAAAATTATTTTTTGCTCTGTTTTTCTGAATTAATGAGTTAATTTTTCATGAGAAAATATTTTTTTCTCTGTTTTTCTGAATTAATGAGTTAATTTTTCGTGAGAAAAAAAGTTTTTGCTCTGTTTTTTTCTGAATTAACTCCTTAATTCAGAAAAACAGAGCAAAAAAAAATTCCATGAAAAATTAACTCGTTAATTCAGAAAAACAGAGCAAAAAAAAAATCCATGAAAAATTAACTCATTAATTCAGAAAAACAAAGCAAAAAAAAAAAAATAAAAATTCCATGAAAAATTAACTCGTTAATTCAGAAAAACGGAGCAAAAACTTTTTTCTCATGAAAAATTAACTCATTAATTCAGAAAAACAGAGCATGAAAAATTAACTCATTAATTCAGAAAAACAGAGTAGATTTTTTTTTCTTCAAGTGAATGCAATACGCCTCCGTACAAATCTGATCTCCTCAGGATTTTAAAGAAGTAGTTCACTTTTAAAAAAAACTTTTGTCCATGTCTTTATTTCTTCAGTCGAAAAGAAATTAAGGTTTTTGATGAAAACATTCCAGGATTTTTCTCCATATAATGGACTTCAATGGGAACCAAACGGTTCAAGGTCCAAATGAGAGTTTCAGTGCAAACTGTTCAAAGGGCTTTAAACGACACCAGACGATGAATAAGGGTCTTATCTAGGACGCTTCGAGTCATGACTCGAAAAAAAGTTCGTTCATTTTGATGACAGGAGAGTCACAAATGCGCATCACAGAACAGAGCAAGGCAAGCATTTGTGCTTATAAAACTTAAACTTTTTTATTTATTTTTTAAATGAGGGATCCTTTCGCTTGATAAGACCCTTATTCATCGTCTGGTGTCGTTTAAAGCCTTTTGAAGCTGCACTGAAACTGTCATTTGAACCTTGAACCGTTTGGTTCCCATTGAAGTCCATTATATGGAAAAAATCCTGGAATGTTTTCATCAAAAACCTTAATTTCTTTTCGACTGAAGAAAGAAAGACATGGACATCTTGGATGACATGGGAGTGAGTAAATTATCAGCAAAAGTTAATATTGAATAATTATTTTATATTTAAAGCCCTATTGGGACGGGATTAGTTTATCATGGAGAGGTGGGTTAAAGTAATTATTACCAGAGCTTCTCAGTGATTTTAGTCTCGTCCGAATGTGCAATCTCAGTTATAATTACGGAAACTATCAGTGAAGATTATTGCGACTTTTACCTTCTGTCAAAAGGTCAAGCAAAATTATCTTGAGTAATACTAATCCTGTGAATATGTACACAAATATTCTGTCATTTCCTGTTTATAAAAGTAGATTTTCATGTAGTGGGTGTATGGGATGGTGATGGCGCAGAGGATAAGACACATGAGACCCGGGTTCAAATCCACTGTGAGACACCAATGTGTCCCTGAGCAAGACACTTAACCCCTAGTTGCTCCAGAGGCGTGTGACCTCTGACATATATAGCAATTATAAGTCGCTTTGGATAAAAGCGTCAGCTAAATGAATAAATGTAAATGTATGGAGATGGTGGGATGTCAAGTCTGTGGCAAAATTCAAGTTTTCCACATAACATTCAGATCGAAAAGAAGGGTTAAAATTTGTTAGAGGCACAAAACTTTGTTTAGCGTTAGGTAATGCCTATTACCAACATAATCCAATCTGAATTTAATTAATACATCATTTGACCGGACCTATAGGTTTGTGTTTGTGCACATGATATCAGGAAGCAAGAAAAGGGCTTATGGCTGTCAAAATGAACGTGTTAATATATATGACTAATATGTTTTTTGCCACCATTGACAGTTTCTATTTGACTATTTTCTATTGGATATTCATAGAACCACGTATATACTAAATGAGGCAAGGGTGTAAAGTAAACAAAAAAAAAAGGTTAAATATGTCATTTTGGTGACTACTTTAAAACAAATAAATAAAGGCAAAAGATACCTGAGTTTGGTGTTACAGAAGGCACAGCGGAAGCAAGTTATATGGTAAATCTGCTGGTTGGCAATAAGTTTTTCCACCGGGTAAACAGTCTTTTGGCAGCACACACATCTTTCCTGGACAGGCAGATTAAATTTCTGTCCAGGGAAACACAAGATTTATAAACATGTCTTTTGCAATGCAATCAGTATGAATATCAGATATGGTATGAAATCTCATACCGGAAGTTAGCAGACTGTCCCAAAATCTTTAAATTCATTTAAAGGAGAACTCCGGCGAACAATGAACCTTTGGTCTAATAAAACATCGGTACCTAGTCAATCGTTATCTGATATTTGTTTTCATGATAATCAAATGTAAAGAGTTTTATCTCTAAAAACTGTTTAGCGTATAATGCTAGTACTGGGGGCATTGACTAAGTAAAAAGAAATCGCTACTTTATACCACTAACAAGGCTCAAAATAGCCGCACACTAACACAGAAACATACTGAGGCTCCATACATGCAAAACGAAGCATTGAGAACTTTGTAAGTGTACAGACCGTTTAATAAGAAGAAACTTTATGAAGACACCTCACTTCGTGTATACAGACAGGAGCCATCTTAAAAAATAGTCTCGATAAGTCGATCCCCGAACGCGGTTCATACAGTTCAGAAGTTCGCTGAACTTCATACAGCTCAGATCACTCAGCACGTCGTTCGGGGATCGACTTATCGAGACTATTTTTTAAGATGGCTCCTGTCTGTATACGCGAAGTGAACTGTCTTCATAAAGTATCTTCTTATTAAACGGTCTGTACACTTACAAAGTTCTCAATGCTTCGTTTTGTATGTATGGAGCCTCATTATGTTACTGCGTTAGTGTGCGGCTATTTTGAGCCTTGTTAGTGGTATAAACTAGCGATTTCTTTTTACTTAGTCAATGCCCCCAGTACTAGCATTATACGCTAAACAGTTTTTAGAGATAAAACTCTTTACAATCGATTATCATGAAAACAAATATCAGAGAACGGTTGACTATGTACCGATGTTTTATTAGACCAAAAGTTCATTGTTCGCCGGAGTTTTCCTTTAATATTCATATTCTACCGATACACACTACCAACTTTATTTGACTATTAGTTATCAGTTGCTAAATATAACATTGATTTCCCCAGGTAGAATTAAATCTGTACATGCACATAAAATCAATTAGCATTTGTAGTCCAGTTTGTAGTCCACAGACCCTGAGCACTTTAGGAGGGTCCTTGCTCTCTGACGCAGGGTGTGCAGTGCTGGGACTCTCTGTGTGTACATGCTCTCCTAAAGGACACACAAAAACATGAGTTTTGGATAATGACTTGGTTTTGTTTTGTTTTGAACCGGTAATCTCTATCCATGACAAACAAATGAACAATACAATAAGCACTTAAATTAAAAAGTCATTTCATTCAAACGTTATATTTTAGTGAGGTTTTTCTACGTTTAAATTCACCGAGGATTTCCAGAGCAATGAAGGCGTGAAGCGGAATATTAAATTCTCCTGAAGTGAATGAATGCACACGCACACAAGGGTTTCAGCAGCTGTGGAAATTATTGTAACTATACTCTTGTGACATCTTTCCATGCCTTTACTCCAGATTGCATGCAAAAGTGTCAAGTGCATCTTTGCTTTTTTAACTGCGTGTCCTGCAGCTGCTTCTGTAGCCTTCAGGAAATCTCTGAAAGCTTTTATAATGTGCTCCTGTTTCTCCTTAAAAACGTCCTGCCAAGTCTGATCCTTCCACCAATGTTAACGCAGCTCTCTAGATAGAGTCTATAACTTTCAATCAAGTGAAGGAAATACAAGCTCGTATTTTTCAGATATTTTACAGACGTCTGATGTCAATAACACATTTATTTCTGTCTTCATTTGGTGGCAACCCTGTCAAAGCAGACCAGCAACCCGTTTTTGTTGATAACCACCCTCATATAACTAAAACCAGAGACAATTTATATAGAGACATGCCACTTCCTAAATCATCACTGTAAAAAAAATATTGTTGGTTTAACTTAATAAAGTAAGTAACCTGGTTGCCTTAAAATGAGTGAGTTAATACAATGAAGGAGATTGATTTAACCATCAGAAACTCAAAATAATAAGTTATCTCAACTAAATAAATGATTTAAGTTGATCTGACAAAAGAAAAAATGTTGTCATGACAAATCTTGAAAATGTTTTTTTACAGGGGAAAACCCGTAACGCCAAAGACGACGGTTGTATGCACATGCCCCGCCCCTCCCACTGAAAAGCCAATCGTCTGCTTTTAACAGTCAAGCCGGGAAACATTTAAGCCTATCGTCTGGTTCCACTGACGTTGATGTTTGCGACAGCGGAGACGAGAACCCTTGCATGCGTTGTAAAAGTATAGCCTGAAAAGGGCGTTTTAAACTTTATTTTGGGGCAACGTCATCAAACTTTTTTAGCCATTTGTATCATATTTTACTGCTGTTTCTATACATGCGGTTTTTATGTCCTGGTGACCAGTGAAAGTGCAGTTCTGACTCTCTGCCCATTCATTTAGATAGGAGCCTGGTCTTGTTAGTCTGAAACAGCTGCCCGGAGGCGTTGCCAAGATGGCGGCCGAGTGGCAGGACTTGCCTAAAAGGACTTTGCTAAAACTCACTATTCTCCTGAATTATAAAGGTTAAAGAATAGACTCACCATTGATCTTCGCACAATTTGATGGAGGGAGTGTTTTCTGTAAGGGGAGAACAAACAGTCTTGTTAAATCTTAAGGTAAACTATTGGTGTGACAAACATGTTCATTACCGGTCAAAAGCGTGAAATAATTCCGATTTTTAAAAGTCTCTTCTGCTCACCAAGGCAGCATTTATTTGATAAAAAAGCAATAATTTAGTGGAATAACATTGCAATTTATAAGAACTCTTTTCTATTTTAATACTTCGTACAATGTAATTTATTCCTGTGATCAAAGCTGAGTTTTCAGCATCATTACTCCAGTCTTCAGTGTCGCATGATCCTTCACAAATCATTCTAATATGATGATTTACTGCTCAATTACAATTGGTGAGCAAATTTTTAAATTTCTTATTATTAGCAAAGTTGAAAACTTTCTGATTAGAAAGTTAAACGAATAGCTATTCTTTGAAACACATTATAAATGTTGGAATTATTATTATCTTAAATCTTACTCACCCAGACATTTGAATGATTGTGCATCACAGTTTCCACAAAAAATGATTGTGCATCACAGTTTCCACAAAAATATAAAGCAGCACATTTTCAACATTGATAATAATCAGAAATATTTCTTGAGCATCAAATCATGAAATTAGAATGATTTCTGAAGGGTCATGTGACACTGAAGACTGGGGTAATGATGCTGAAAATTCAGCTTTGATTATATAAATGACATTTTATCAAATATTGTACTATATACATACATATTCACATAGAGAACAGATAATATTATTTAAATAACAGTAAATTTAGACTGAACACATCACTAAAAGAAGTTAGTCTTTATTGGTATATTTAAGTTGTGGTTTTTGAAGGAAGTGAGAGCATGTATCATACCACTGTCTGTCCATCACCAGCAGGAGGCGAGATCTCCTTATGATCCACGACGGGAACGCTGTCCTCGCTTTCCGACTGCTTTGCCTGAATCAAAGTGACAATCACTCCACATCAGCACACTTTAAAAATAACCCAACAGTGTATGAAACATGAGTGTGTTTGTTCACCGTTTTTTACTCGGTACACCTACTCTCTTCTGATTCTCCATTGTAAAGTGCCCTTGATCATTGGAAATGTGCTAAATAAATTATTATTATTATTATTATATAATGTGGCATTAGTTGTCTTGGGGAAGGATGATTATATGAAAGAAGGATTTTTTTTATCTCTGTGGCTTAATCATTCCTATCACACAGTTTATTTTCAAGATACTGTTATTTATCATGATAACTCAGAATAGGTTAGCATTGGTGATGGATATGAGAATGATTATGTATTGGGTCTCGTGGACTATATAAGAACTTAGACTTGCTACTACTGTAAGACACACAATCGCATGCATTAGTGACCTGTAGCAGATCTAGAGAGGTGGAGCTTGTGTGTTTCTGAAAGCGCACTGCAAACACTGACTGAAACAAGCTACAGTATGTACACTCACCAAAAGGATTATTAGGAACACCTGTTCAGTTTCTCATGAATGCAAAATCTAATCAACCAATCACATGGCAGTTGCTTCAATGCATTTAGGGGTGTGGTCCTGGTCAAGACAATCTCCTGAACTCCAAACTGAATGTCAGAATGGGAAAGCCCAAAGAATGATTTAAGCAATTTTGAGCGTGGCATGGTTGTTGGTGTCTGAGTATTTCACAATCTGCTCAGTTACTGGGATTTTCACACACAACCATTTCTAGGGTTTACAAAGAATGGAGTGAAATGGGAAAAACATCCAGTATGCGGCAGTCCTGTGGGTGAAAATGCCTTGTTGATGCGAGAGGTCAGAGGAGAATGGGAATGTAGGATCAGAATTTGGCGTAAACAGAATGAGAACATGGATCATCATGCCTTGTTCCCACTGTGCAGGCTGGTGGTGGTGGTGTAATGGTGTGGGGATATTTTCTTGGCACACTTTAGGCCCCTTAGTGCCAATTGGGCATCGTTTAAATGCCACGGCCTACCTGAGCATTGTTTCTGACCATGTCCATCCCTTTATGGCCACCATGTCCCCATCCTCTGATGGCTACTTCCAGCAGGATAATGCACCATGTCACAAAGCTCCAATCATTTCGAATTGGTTTCTTGAACATGTCAATGAGTTGACTGTACTAAAATGGCCGCCACAGTCACCAGATCTCAACCCAATAGAGCATCTTTGGGATGTGGTGGAACGGGAGCTTCGTGCCCTGGATGTGCATCCCACAAATCTCCATCAACTGCAAGACGCTATCCTATCAATATGGGCCAACATTTCGAAAGAATGCTTTCAGCACCTTGATGAGTCAATGCCACGTGAAGGCGAAAGGGGGTCAAACACAGTATAAGTATGGTGTTTCTAATAATCCTTTAGGTTAGAGTAACTATACATATTGATTAGTAAGTTCATTAGCTGCCCGACCTGTCCGCCTGTGCAGATATATATTACGAAAAAAGATTTGACATTTTATATCTAAATAGTGCAACTACTAATTTTCTTGGACAATGATATTGGTCACAATTAAGAGAGCTTGATATTTAACTGTGCATATGCAACAACACCAAAAAAAGTGTTTTTAAGAATGGCATTCATTTTCCCTTTCTCCAATTGAAACGACAGTTAGACTTTAATAAGCCTACAGATACCCATTCAATTCAAGGCTGAATCCAGAACCAAACATGCTCAAAAACAAAAACATGCTTTTAATTTCTAACGATTGCATAAATTACAGAGAGATCTGACTGCACTTACTCTAATGTAACCCGTATCATCGTTATGTTTGTGTTCATCATACTCACCGAGCGTGGCACAGTAACGGGAGCCTGTCTGCTGACCGCGAGCTGATATTTCGCCATGCGGTCCCTGACAGAGGCGCTGCGCTTCAGACTGGAAGGACCTATGACAGAATATATTTTTGTAACTTTTCTTTTCAAAGCAACTTTTGTTTGACCGTGTGTGTTTCTTGGTATTTACCTTTGTTGGCCATGTGTGTGTCTATGTCCTCTGAGGTGCTGTTCACTTCTGTTTGCTCCTGAAGAATCAAGTAGAAAGTACAGTATTAAAACCGGTGACAGAGTGAAAGAAATGTGAAGTGCAGACACAACAACGGCATTTACATGTAGAGCGAAGGAAACAGCACCCACTATGATGTCCGCTGCTCCCAGGAAATATCCACTTTACTGTTAAAGGAGTAGTTCACTTTAATTTACTCACTCAGATGTCATCCAAGATGTCCATGTCTTTCTTTCTTCAGTCGAAAAGAAATTAAGGTTTACATTCCAAACATTCCAGGATTTTTCTCCATATAATGGACTTCAATGGGAACCAAACGGTTCAAGGTCCAAATGAGAGTTTCAGTGCAGCTTCAAAGGGCTTTAAACGATTCCAGACGATGAATAAGGGTCTTATCAAGCGAAACGATCAGCCATTAAAAAAAAACAACAAAGTTTAAATTTTATAAGCTCAAATGCTCGCCTTGCTCATGCGTGTTCGTGACTCTCCTGTTCGAACTCGTTCATCAAAATGAACGAATCTTTTCCAGAGTCAATTCATTCATTTCATCCGTTGAATGAACCAAATGACTCGGAAAAAGATTCGTTCATTTTGATGAACGAGTTCGAACAGGAGAGTCACGAACGCGCATCACAGAACAGAGCAAGGCGAGCATTTGAGCTTATAAAACTTGAGCGATCGTTTTGCTTGATAAGACCCTTATTCATCGTCTGGAATCGTTTAAAGCCCTTTGAACAGTTTGCTCTGAAACTGTCTTTTGGACCTTGAACCGTTTGGTTCCCATTGAAGTCCATTATATGGAGAAATTCCTGGAATGTTTTCATCAAAAACCTTAATTGCTTTTCGACTGAAGAAAGAAAGACATGGACATCTTGGATGACATGGGGGTGAGTAAATTATCAGCAAAAGTTTTTTTTTAAAGTGAACTACTCCTTTAACTCATGAGCCATAATGTAAAAGTCTACTAATACTCTTAAGTTCATATGTAGTTGTAAATTAATGAGTTAAAAAGTTAATTGCTAAGCTACTTGGAATGTCTGAAGTAGACTATTGAACTATCGAAATAAAGTGTAAATGTTATTTTTTATGAAGAAATGTAAAATTAATTCACTATTTCTAAGTAAATACAAAATGTGTGGCAAATGAAGTGTGAATTATGAATGAGTTTTTATATTGAACAACTAATTTATGCTTATATTTGTATTTGAAATGTAAATTATTCATATATTTCACAACATACTCAACTTACATACCGTAGAGTAACACAGCTTACCCTTACCCATTTCTCTATGTGTTTATTTATTTTTGCGAAGTCATCCGTCTATGCTATAATCCCATTTCTCCTTCATACAAGACAACATCATTAAAAAGAAAAGTGCAAAGTTTACCCTATACCTTAAATGCAACAAGATGGTCATGAAGACTACCTCAGATGTACAACACTTTTAAAAACAAAGACAGATTGAAGACTGGTTTGAGCACAATTAGCACACTGACCGCCTTTAAGAAAGCTCACATTACGCCTGAAATGTGAAATTGCATTGAGAACATGAACGTAGATGTTTGGATAAACCACAGAGGAGAAAGGCAAGGGCATGGACGGAGAAACAAACGGTGGGAGGTTTTATAGTCCTCCAGAGACCTGCTGGGGTTTTAAAGAGTGTGTGTGTGTGTGTGTGTGTGTGTGTGCATACCAGTCTCATAACATCATCACCACACAGCATACAACACAAATGAAGCAAGCAGATGCAACTGCCATAGCCGAGTGTGGCAAAACATGTTTGTGTGTAATAAGGTAATTATGCATACAACCAAAAACTCTCCTGTGAAGTTTTTTTTTTTTTTTTTTTTTTTTTTTTTTTTCAGAAGTAGTAGTTCATGTAGTAAGATTGAATTTATACTCATTATCCCTCAGTTTATTAAAACAAAATAAAAAAACCTAGCAAGTGCATACGTCTGAACAATGGAATGGAAGTCGAGTACAAAAGCGCAGACACGAGCACTACCGATCAATGGATTGACAATTTAGGTAAGATTGAACCAGAAAAAATTATTGTTTTTAGCAAACGTTTCAGAAGGCAACGGTCCATGAAATTGAGTCTGCATTTGTCATTCACATATTTGGGTAGAAGGTGTTTTGTGCTTGTTTTAATTGTTTATATCTAAGATGTCCATGTCTTTCTTTCTTCAGTCGAAATGAAATTAAGGTTTTTGATGAAAACATTCCAGGATTTTCTCTATATAATGGACTTCAATGGGCACCAAACGGTTCAAGGTCCAAAAGACAGTTTCAGTGCAAACTGTTTCAGACGATGAATAAGGGTACGAAACGATCGCTCATTTAATAAATAAAAAAAGTTTATGTTTTATAAGCTCAAATGCTCGCTTTGCTCTGTACTGTTCTGTGTGACTCTCCTATTTGAAACTCGTTCATCAAAATGAATGAATCTTTTCCAGAGTCAACTCGTTCATTTCATTCGTTGAATGAACCAAATGACATGAGAAAAGATTTGTTCATTTTGATGAACGAGTTCAAAGAGGAGAGTCACGAACACGCATCACAGAACAGAGCAAGGCGACCATTTGAGCTTATAAAACTTAAACTTTGTTATTTGTTTTTAAATGAGCGATGATAAGACCCTTATTCATCATCTGGAATCGTTTAAAGCCCTTTGAACAGTTTGCACTGAAACCGTTTGGTTCCCATTGAAGTCCATTAAATGGAGAAAAATCCTGGAATGTTTTCATCAAAAACCTTAATTTCTTATCGACTGAAGAAAGAAAGACATGGAAATCTTGGAAGACATGGGGGTGAGTAAATTATCAGCAAAAGATTTTTTTAAAGTGAACTACTCCTTTAACACATAGAAGTTTTGTGGGTAACACTTTATTTTGAAGGTCCCTTTTGAACATTCTGTTAGCTATAAGATACTTTGCAACTACATGTCAACTAACTCCCATTAGAGTATCAGCAGGCGGTACTACAGTACACGTCACCTTATTCTATCCCTAACCACACCAGTCTACTAATACTCTAGTGAGAGTTAGTAGAGATTTAGGTGCAATGTTACTATAGTCAACTGAATGTGTTCAAGGGACCATCCAAATAAAGTGAAACCGTCTTATACTCCTAGAACTGTGTGTATTTATTCTTGTGAAATGTAGATTACTTTAAACATGTCTTTTCCTCTAATGTTTTCACAAACTAAAAGACTATGCGAAATGATTGTTTGTGCTAATCGACAGCATGTTGAATGTAACTTGTACTGAAGAGTGTTTTAATGTGTGATGGGACTCAACTACTGCATCTCCGGCATTCTCTTGCCTTTGTGTTTTCAGTCAGCGTTCAGGAGGCAGGAAACCACTCAAACAACCGCCTCACTGTGATGGAACAATACACACTTGTTTCTGCTTCACACCCCTTTGGATCGGGGAATTTGAAAGAACGTGTCACAGAGCCGTAGCCACAAACCTAGCTAGCTAAGCTTATAGACTACGTTAAAAATAAAAAATAAACACAAAATCTTACTGCGTGAATCTCACGAAGCGGCAAAAAACATCATTTTTCCACAACAAACTTTTCCTTGAAATTCAAACTATTACTGTTTTTTCCACTGTGACATTTTTAAATATAATTATGTAAGATTTTCCTGCTCAATTTTCATTTGCAAAAATAAAATGTTTGTAAAATTGAACTAACATTTAATATCAAAATATATATTTTTAGTTATTACCTTTTCAGTTTCTTAATCTGCTAATTTTACAATATTAACCGGATAAAGACATGAGCCAGAATGGAGAGGCTCTTCCTTCAGCTGTCCCTGTAGACATTACACACCTTTATCCTCCTAAAGAAGTGGAACTGATAATCAGTTTATTTGCTATTTGCTATTTTTAATTTGCTATTGCAAGACTAAGCTTGCCATATGTCTTGAATATGAGGGAAGTTTTATGACAACTGTCATTAAGTGTCATTTGCTCAGTTATGACATTTAATGGAAATATGACATTGTTTGAGGTGTCTTTGTTATGACACCTTGACATAAACCAATACATCATAACCTGTCAGTGTCTTTGTCATGACAACTTGACCAAACTAAGACGACACAACCTGTCATAAACATGACCTAGCAGATTAATGATCAAACTTAAGAAACCACCTAGATTTATGGGTTAACATTACATTAAACTGTCAGGTGTTGGTTTTGACATTGGCTGTCATGAAGCCATTATAACTTTTTAATGACAAATTCAATTAGTACCACTGTAGTTGAGCTCACGAAAAATATTCATGACACAGTTATAATGCCTCATGTCAAAGCCAACCACATGACAGTTTAACTTCATTTAATGTCAAGTTGTCATGACAAAGACACTGACAGGTTATGATGTATTGGTTTATGTCAAGGTGTCATAACAAAGACATCTAAAACAATGTCATATTTGCATTCAAAATGTCATTAGTGAGCGAAAGTCACTTAATGACAGTTGTCATAAACATGCATAAACCCTATTTCATATTCATGACATATGAAGGTGTCATGTCAGTCTTACGCACACCCCTTCAAGTAAAGTGTTACCAGTATTTTCAGCAAACTCTGTTTTATCGGGCTAGTTGGATTGGTTTTTAGCGATGAGAGCTATAGAGCTGCATTTATACTTGGGTTAGAGATCGCAAACCAAAACCAAAACTGGACCAATCAGCTGTGAGCAAAGGACATCTGACGCAATAAAGCACTCTCCCTATATCTCTGGCTCAAACTACAGCCGTTAACAGTCACAGTGAGAGAATTTTAGAGACAAAATTGCCCTTTTTCTACATGCTATTTATTATTTATTATATTAATTATAATTATTTGTAATTCATATAATTATTATATGAATAGACGATTAATATTACACTTTGCATGGACCTGTAACCAGGTTGGATTTGCATGGTTTTGTTAACTCTAAACCTACTGTAACCTCAGCACTTGTTCAGCTTTATGCGTCATGCCACTGATGTCGTACAAGTATCGGAGTTGTAAAGAAATGCATGAATGAACAAAAGGAGTGGCGAAGCTCTCTCCATTAGCAAAGATGGTGAATCTGAATCAGCAAACAGGATTTCGTTATATTTATATTTGCAATATAAAAAGGACAGCTTTTACTTTGTATTTTACAGCGCTTCCATTATCGTATAACTGCAGATTATTATGAAGACAATATTAGATTCGGAGACATTCCAAAAGATTCCAAGGAATCAAGTAGGAATGTGAGCACACGCCTGGCCTCTGGATATGACAATGGGGGATGGGCACTCAGTCAAATGAGGTAAAGCCCAGACATATATCCACTGACAAGTTATGCACAGGTTAGCTGATCAAATGACCTTTAAATTGACTGTGCTCACACTTATAGTTTAGTCAATAAACAAAACAGTTTTTATGACGTATTCTTTGTGATGGAACTTACTGAAAACGATGCGTGTGACTAAATGTGCATGGGAATTTTTACCAGCCGAGAGCTTGTTTAGAGCTTAAACTGTAAACCCCAGAACTGTAATGGGCAACATCGCGACTATGGCGAGAAAAACAGGCAGCATTCTGCCCTTTTTAGGGTCTCATCTTGTTGACATCACGTCCTGTTTTGTGTGCGTCTCGGTTCGCTTGTTTGGTGAGCACCAGGGTTCAGATGGTTGCGTTCACGCTTAATAAAATGAACTGAATTAACAGAGCAATCGAAGTTTAATTGAATCTAAGATTGAAGTGTGAACACACCCTTTTCTAAGATTTAAAACAGAAGTAAAAAGCCGCTAATATGTCTATTCAAATCAGTGAGCTGGTTTAACATGTTTGATAAAGCACGGACAAGAGCTTCAACAATATCATCAACTTATCCTGCATCTAGATTAAAGGGGACATATCATGCAAAATCCACTTTTTTAGCCCTTAAATGCATTTTGTTGTATATTTGGAGTGTTTAAAAGTACAGAAAAGATGAAATTATTCTCTTCAGGTTATTCTGTTTTGGTCATATTTTTCAACCTGTTCAGATTTTTCTGTTCTCTATGATGTTTTTTGAACAATTACGTCACAGTATTTTCAGCGGAACTGACAAATAAGGACATCGACTAGCGGTCCAACACTTCGAGCAATCCGCCATTTTTTTTTATCGCTCAGATTTTGTAGTCCGAGCTCAATGATGCAGAAGTTACGAAAGGGCAAGTCAAAATGTTCGGTTTTTGGATGTAGTGACCCGAAGCACTTCAAGGATTCCCACTTCAACAACCTCCGCCAGTATAAAGAAGGGTTTGCCGATCGACTTCGTCTGAGTGAGGGGTCAATTCCTTCCATCTTTGGAGATGACGAACAGAGCATTTCGATAAGCTGTAAATATCGTTAATAAAAATAAAGTACTTTACTTTCTTAAAACACATGGTGGTCATGGTTTAGCAGTACCTTTGTCTTTCTTTGTTTTTGTTTTGAAGTAACGTTACACGTCTGCTATTGTTCTTGAGTTTCATCAATGGTCATTTAGCTGCTGTGTTTTCTGATGCTTTTCTAAACGTATCATATTATCAATACAGATTTTTAGTGGTAAGATTAGACCGCAGTCATTTATCTTATCAGTGTGCTTGTTTTAACAAGAGAAATATTCGACTTTCACTAATAACACAAAACAGTTACATACAACTACATCCATATGAAGACGTTGTTCTGCAGATTCGTCGTTGTCTTTTTTCAACATGGTTCGAACATGTAAGGCTTGATGGACAAGTCTTCCATTGTTGACATTTTGTTAAAGTGTGAATAAAACGTGTTTTATTCGTATTTTATAAAATGTTCAATGAAGCTTTAGTATATAATCGTATATCTCTAATCAAACTACAAAAATGGCCGAACGGAGTGGCGTTGAACCGACCGTGAACTCATCGACCTGGAGAGCGGGCGGGGTGTGACGCATCTCCTTCTTATTTAAAGGAGCCGCATCAAAACGAGTTGCTCACAGAAAAGGGGCCTGTGGAGCTATAATAATGAGGAATTCAGACCCAAGCATTGCAGTTATGCTTTATATGGACCACAAATTTATGATTTATATGTAAAAATGAATGATTTAAAAGCATGATATGTACCCTTTAAGCAATACAGCAAATGCATTTAAATTGAGGTTGCATTTGAGTAAATTGCACACGTATGTGTAAAAACTTTGGTTTTTGTTTCCATCGATCTCCATGTTGAACTGTTTTATGTGTTTACTGTATCCACATTGTATTATTATGGAAACACGTTCATGAACAATATAAGTTATTACTTTGTATAGGACCCGTTTGAGCCCTAGAGCAGACCGGAGATCTCTCCGTTTGTTGAAAGCTTCCCGATGTCGACTCTCGTCTTATTCCGACGCCTGGCACTGGACAAGTTTTATTTTCTTTGTCTTACGTGGAGTTTGCGTTGGGGTTTGGAATGAACAAGCCAGTCTCTTTGAATCCATCTACTTTTGTGGAAAGTTGACTAAAGTTTTGTCGCTCGAGTTGTCTTCGCTGATACGGAGAATGGCGGCGAATACACAAACCTGCCAGACATAGCCAGGTGAGTGTGAATGTGCATGACGTCACGCCCAGTCTCAAACCCCGTCCCGAATCCCTCTTATTTATTTTACTGTACTGGATTATAGAGGCAATCGCAGTGATCAGTTCAGCCCATCAGGCAATTGTATGGGTTAGAAAAACAGGTATTTTTAACATGAAATGTTGCGCAATGCACCTGAGGTAAAATAGGACCCGTGTTTTTCTTTGTAAGATTTGGCATGCAAGTGAGAAACTGTTATAATTATGATTATGGATTATGTTGGGTTCACAACATACCAGGAAATATAGAGAATACAGAACAGGTACAGTAATGTATTTCATCTGTGACATTCTCACCTTGCTTTTGGCCTTTTCAAACATCATTTTGCGGTTATTGAGAGGCAAGACTGGTTTCTCCAAAGGGGAAGATGGAGAAAATGGATCGGATGCAGACTCGTTTTCTTCCTTCTCTTCTGCCCGCTTCTTTTGTTCAGTCTTCACGTCTGCCTTTGTTTTGGCAGGTCTCTCATGGGACGTTGGCTCCTGGCTCAGGCTGGGCTGTCGCACGGGTTTACTTGAGGAAGCGGGTGGTTCTGGTCGAACGCTGGGTTTGCGGGAAACAGAAGGAGCCACGCTCAGCTGAAGAGAAGAGTTCTCCAGAGCCGGTCGTTCCCAGCGTTTCTTCAGCGCACTCAGGGTTCCCGATCGGACCGACAAACTATCAACAGACTGAGGGAGAGTGGGAGAGCGAGGTTAATTCATGTAGACACTCATTTCAGACATAATAAAAACTACTTTTTACTAGTTTTTCTTAGCTATAGTCCCTTCTTTAATGTAAATCTATGAGATGTGTTTAGCCTGCAGAGTAAAAACTAAGTCTGATCACTTAAAAAAGTAATAGACTATAAAATAATAGACTATAAATAGACTTTATATTTTATATTCTTCATAGTAACCCGCTGCCTAAATTGCAGTTTTACACTACATCTAGTCTTTCAACTAACATCAGTTCAGTAAACTTCAAATTTATCCAGTCCAAATAATCTGTTCTATTATTTAAATGTATGCTCTACAAAACTAATTTTAAGACAACAAAAAAAGTTCAAAAAAAAAAAAAAGAATAAACATCAGATGAAAAACTTAGCTAAACTAAGTACAATTTTTTAAATGTTACATTGACAACAAACTGAAATAAGTTCAAGTTAAATCACTAGAATGAATAAATGGTATTAAATAAAAACTGAATCTGAACTAAAACTGAAATAAAAAGAAACCTGAATACGCTGTAAAAAAAAAATCATGAAACTTAAAAAAAAATCAAATCAACTTAGATAATTGATGTGGTTCAGATAACATAATATTTTGAGTTTCTGATTATTAAATCAATCTCCTTCATTGTATTAACTCAATTTTTCAATTTCAATGAACTTAAAGTTTTAAGGCAACCAGGTTACTTCATTTTTTAAGTTAAACCAACAATATTTTTTAGAGTGAAGACAATAAAAATGACAAAAGCACAAAATAATATTTTTTTTAAAAAAAAGATTAAATTTAACAATAGTTAAAATGAAAAAGTTACAAATTAAAGCTAATAGTATATAAAATAGTAAAATAACACTGAACCCTTGTCCGTTCCAAACATTGTGTGCACAAAAGAGTTACCGCTAAACTAAAATAACATTTGAAAGTTTAATTTAGGATATTTTGTCTGGAATAGAAGTGTCAAAGTACGTCAAACCCACATAAAACCGAGACCTGACGAGACATGAGAGAATATCTCCACACGAGGATAATAAAACAATGTAGGAAACAGCTGTTCAAGACATCTCCACCTAAAACACTCACCAGATAACACACTTCCCCTAAAACACTTTCATTCCAGCAAGCCACCAATCATTGCTCTTACATCAGACTATTTGTGGTTTCTTTTACATCACCGCTATCAACAAACCGAGCAGACTGCCAACACGAACTCTTCTCATGAGTTAAAACTGCCCAATAGACAATTCAAACAAAGAACAGCTGTTTTCTATTGCACTCCAAATCAAGACGAGCTCAGTATAGAGGACTGCGTTCATGCAACAGTCTCTGGGAAAGCGTGCTGAAACGAGACGCCAGAGAAGTGAGATGAGAGGAAAGACCTGATGGACAGGGCGCTCTTTACGTCTTTTCTCTGCTCTGCTTTCTCCGAGCTCCTTGTGCGCTGGACATCAGTGATAAAGCCCTACCAGATGTGAAGCAGGCAGGAAACTTGTCAGAACTATAGTCCAGCCCCCATGAAGGAAGGAAAGAGAAGTGAAAGGAAAAGGGGGGAAGAGAGAATGAATGTGTGTGAGATGGAGGGGTCGGAGATGATTAAAATGCGCCTGGAGTGAAACCTGCGTACAGGAAATGATGCATGTGATGAAATTTAACTCTTTCTCGTCTGTTTTCCTTGTTCCACATCCATGAAATTGCAAAAAAAAAAAAATCTTGTCACAGTTGTCATCTTTGACAGTGATTTACACTGTAAAAAATAATCGGGATTTTAACGGTAAAAGACCGTAAAAATGCTACAGTGCAAAACTGTTAATTGGTTAACCGAAACTTTCCGTACTAAATACAGTAAATATCTGATCAAATTTTACTGTAAATACCGTTAAATTGACAGTTTTTGAAAGTGAAAAAGAACAACTCATTGTATAATTTACAGTGAAAAAACGTAAATTGATATTCCCACAATTCCCGGTATGACACTTCACATTTTATGTATTTTTGCTGAAATATGGTTCTTCATAGTTTTCTTGTTTGTTTTTTTTCTAATCAGTTATGTAGGCCTACATTAGGGTTTTATGTTACATTTAATGTTGTTAAATTCATGTTTATTGCGTTTTTTATTTTATTTCATGTGTGTTACCATGATGGTGTTTATTACAATGGTACAAAACAGATATCAATTTTACAAAAGGTTGGTAAATCAACATTTTATGAGATAATGAAATACGGTTTATTACTGTTTAAAGTCTGTAAAACCATTAACTACCATATTTTTTAACGGTAAAGTTCTGGCAACCACAGCTGCCGTTTTTTTATCGTAAAAAGTACGGTTTTATTTTTATTTTATAACGAAATTTACGAAAGATTATTACATAATGTTAATTGCTTCAGTCAATTTAAATCATTTAATTAATTTAAATTGAAAAAGAAAAAGTTTAAGTGAATGATTTAATGACTCACTCATAAAGACTCAGCATTTTGTAATGAATCTCTTGAATGATTCAATGACAAACCGATTTTTAACAGTCACTTGTCGCCACCTACTGGTGTAATAATGTAATTTATACAATCGTTCTTTGAAACGCCACGCTATATGCAAAAGGTGATTTACTTTTTGGTGGCTGACTTAGTGTTTATATCTGAACTATGAACTTTTATCCCAGCACTTGTAATATTTTGCATTATTGTAAGAGAAACAGCAATACTGTGTGGTTAAAAAGACTGTCACACCTAAACATGACAACTGTTCTCTCTGGATCAGCGGCAGGACAAACACAGATCTGAATGTTCGCTGTGATCGTATTTGTCAGAGGGTTTAATAGACACAGATGAATGAGTGAATAATTATCATTTATGAATAAGATGGCGTAGGTGTTTGAATCGAGATCGCAATCTTTTAACGATTAACCGTACAGCTCTACCTCATGTGATTTCCAGACTTGCACATCTTTCTTGGGTGAAACACAAAAGTAGAAATGTCAAAGATTTTTTTTTCATATAATGAAATTTCTGTACATTTCTCATTCAATGTTCCATAGAAGAAAGTCAAACAGGTTAGGAATGAGGTTACATTTACATTTGTTTAGCGTCCAAGAGTGAATAGAAAAAATACACAAAAGTTTCCACGACACATTACATTAATAATAGTTACCGATTTTTTCTTGTCTGCGCTCGCCTCCTCGGCGGCTTTCTGATATCTGAAAACACAGAGAGGGAAGAAAAGTATGAGTAAATGTTAGGTATCATTATCATATAACCATCTAAACATTCAAAATGTTTGAATACAATTGTGTGAATCAAAACACAAAAACCAATATGATTAATAACTGGAAAAGCAGTTCATCAGCAACATTTCTTAGTTGACAATTGTGTTAAAGCTGATGGCTCTCAGGTGAAAGCAAATATGGGAAGATTATGATTCTTGGTCCAAATGGAGGTTATTTGCAACTATCGGCTTCATGTCCTCGCTTCTTTCACCTGAGGGCCATAAACATCTGAGCCGTACAACAGAGACAATATCTGTACCCTCAACAAAAAGTCAATAGGATTTTTGATTAGTGTTGAAAAAAAGCTCTGTGACCAACAAAAGTTTATGATGCTTACACGTGACGTTTCTGTCATCAAGATAATCACCACAAATGAACACAACTTTTTTCTTCAACTCTCCAGCCATGTGATAAGCCACGCTAATATGAAGAAGTAAAGGGAATGATACTCACTTGGAAAAGCGCTCAGTGATGGCATTGTTTTTGCCACGACCCCCAACCAGTGAGAGCTCTTTGGCTGTGATCCGTAAGGACTGTGTTGCCCACTGTTTCCTGCTAAATGGCCCCGCATCCATCTCTGGAAAACAGTAAAGCAAATATGAAACTCAAAACAATGAATGGGACCGTAAACATGCTAAAAGTACCAGTCAGAAATCTCTAACTATTGTCAAAAAATGGTCAAATTAATAAACAGTGTTTTAACATTTAAAACGCCTATGACAACAACTTGCCCCATGAGAACACTGAATGTTTCCATTAAAATCAAACTTTATCACAGGTTACAAAAAATATTAAGCAGCACAATTGTTTAGACACAATTAGAATAATTTCTGAAGGATCATGTGACACTGAGGACTGGAGTAATGATGCTGAAAATTCAGCTTTGACTCACAAAAATAAATTAGGCTATGTTTAAAAGTATATATTCAAATAGAAAACAATTATTTTTAAATTGTAATAATATTTCACAATACTGTTTTTTTCTGTAGCCTATTTGTAATCAAATATATGGCTTTCAAAAACATTAAAAATAGTTTCCAAACTTTTGACCTACATTATGCCGAAGATTACACGGCTACTTCTCACATGATTTTTGTACGGAACGCTCCGTGAGGGGAAAAAAAAACAGTTGCTAGCGAAGTGGATTTAAGCCTAGACGACTGGGGGAAAATCCAACTAAACGAACATTTTAAGGATAAAATACAGTCATATCACTTATTTCAAGGCTTTTCACCACAAAGTTTTATTTTATGGGGACAACTAACTTATATTGATATTGATTTGAGATAAAAACTATTTTGAAATCTTACCTGTTTATTATTGTAATCAATTAGCCTACAGTAGCCTACAAAACAATCGTCTTAGAAAAATGATGATCAGCGACAATATTACCGTACTTTACTTACTTAATAGTACAGAACAGAAGTTCTCCGATTTCATTTTCAGTGCAATCGATGAACATAACAGGACGCAAGATGGCAGCAGTTGTGTATGAAACATGAAACATGAAACAAGTAGCGCGCGATGCGAGATGAAAGTTCCCGGATGGGCGGTTTGTTATTCAGCGTTGCTATAGACCTTATTCAGAGCAGCGCCATGACAGTTATGAAAGTGAGGCTGTGAGGGATACCGTATTTCCAATGGCATCGGCTGTAAAAAGCTGAATAAAGCTTCTAGATAACTTACAATTTTCCACAGCTTACATTGTCGGGAGTTTTTTGTCAACTGACATTTCTTGGAAAGATATTTTTCCAGTGTTTCATGAGCAGAACAATCCGAAAACACATTAAATAACAGTAGCCTACAGCCCATTGAAGAGATGCAAGTCTATCCTCACCGCCTCGCTTTCATTCATTAAAAATCAAAGATGGCGCTGCCGTGAATAAGGCGTATTGACTACGGTTGTCTGGGTGGGGTGCTTGTTTTTTTAACAATGCCTGGAGAAAATCCGATTTTATCTTAATTGTGCAAGGTCACTCAGTGTCCAGGACCGCGATTTTTATTGGCAAAAGTTCATTTTAACGTACAGAACCAGATTGGCTTGTACACGCTCACTTAATGGATGGACGATCTTGAGTGGAGAAACCGAGCGTAAAGAGAAACTGAGGGCATATAAATAGTTGAATATAACCAGAGAGTGCATATAACTTTGTGCAGAATGTACTACAAGATTTGTGTGGTAGCCTACGATCCGCAGTTCTGAAGAAATTATGAGAATATTTTCTAGAAATAGAAATTCCAGATACAGCATATTCATTTTCTAATTAATTCTTGGACCCAACAATACAACAAAATTATATTTATCAATAATAATTTAAGCTCCTTATTATATATATATATATATATATATGCCGAATCTGCCTCCAGCCATAGAAATATACACTAGACGCCTTGGCGACTGTCATTACACCATAGACTGTCGCCTTGGCCACGGCAGAAGGAATGCTTCAATAGAGCCGCCATCTTGGAAACAGGGGAGCCCTCCACTTTAATGCAGTCAATGTAGACAAAGGTCTAACGTAAATAAAATCACCATGAATAAATCAATCATGAATGCGATTTTCTCGTTTTTGTTTTGTTCCAACGGTTAGATATATATTTATCATTGATTTCCGTTTAAAAAAAAAAACGAACAAAAAAAAAACGTTCTTCCTAGTTCAGATTTCATTTGTGTGAACATCGTACACAGCACAAAAGTCCACCAGCATCAATTAATTCGAAGTAAAGGCAAGGGAGTAATCCATCAGCCGGAAGTTGAAGCCTCGCGGGAGCCGCCATTGTAGCAGAACTTCATCTGCTGTTAGCATCCCATTGACTCCCATTCATATTGCTGTCACTTTGACAGCGAATAACTTTACATCTGAGGCGTCCAAAGACTTAATTTGTCCATTGTTTATTTCTAAAGAAACACAACGTATAAAATGCTCCATTACTTTGTATCTTACGTTACGGCCCCGTAGAAGCCCCTTTGTAAAAATAGGCTTAAGATTGCGTCATAACCACAGGACTTTCTGTCGCACAATAGAGACATTACCGTACAGACAAAAGGAGAAGCTCGCAGGCAATCTTTTACTGTCTATGAGGCAATCGGAGGGACATAAAGGCACAAAGTCAAGGGAGAAGCCCATAGATAGAGCAACGGGACAAAATATTTCAACAATGTTTTTGAGGAATTAAGTGATTCAGATTTGTCTTGGCACAGCTAGAAGATACTGTATTTTGAGTTTGAGTCTGTGCAGTCGCTCAGACATCAGACAGGAAGTGCAATAATCGGGCTTCAGTCTTCTCAGTTGAAATCAATGGGGCCGCTGTGTCCATTTCTTTTACTGTCTATGAGTATAGGCAGAGATAGCAGCGTTATTAGCTACTTCCTATGACAACACCCCTGTTCCAAGATGGCGGCGGTTTTGACGCATGCTTAGAACCCCAAGGTGACGTCTAGTGTATATAACTATGGCCTCCAGCTAGCGCTGTGACGTAACTGTGACGTTGGCGCAAAAGGGGTCTAGGCTAGGTTAATCTTTATCTGTCAGGAAAATAATGTAATGCTTGATATTACTTTATCAATCTATTTCCAGTCCAGGAAAGATAAATAAAAAAGACAACAGACTGAATCCTCATTCACATCTCTTTCCTGATTTTGTCACAGCAGGTTTTGGGTAGTCAAATCAGGATGAGCTGGTCAAGCTGGTTTTACCAGAAAGTAGGCCAATAAAGTAGGCCTAAGTTTTATTAATAGAAATGAGTTTTATGCATCTAGTTCAGATTACAAGGAAGAAAAAGTTTAGCATTAAATTCTTACGGTCCTAAATTCGTCCCCCGCACCCTTAGCATAGTGTGCTTTATGTTGTCCGAAAATAAAGTGGACATTTCAGGTAAACTGAGGGGGTTTTCACACTTGGTTCAGTTGCTTGATCTGAATCAGAGTTTGCTTTGACCCCCACCCCCACCCCCCGTTCTCATTGTATTATTTGGGTTTGAAGCGCGGTATCCTTGCGTCATCAACCTGGAGCCGCAAACACATTTTGCAAACAGATTGATTTTTTTTTTTTTTTTTTTTTTTTTACAAAATGGATCGTTGCTCACATCACATCACATTTTTTTTTAACCTTTGGCTTTGTTTCCAAAACAGCACCACATGACTGCACTTGTGTCTATCTGCCACAAATTAACTGCAAATGTTTAAAGAGCGTGTTCACATTAGCAGTGAAGCGTACTAGATTTCTCACGAACCGTACACCTCACCAGCTTTTTCATGCAAACTCGTGGGTACGGTTCATGGGTGCGCACCGATGACAGCGTTCACATCATCCAAACAAACCGAGCCCTGACTTTAATTGAAAGAGTGTGGTGCCCATCAAAAAGCACCGAAAATGCACCGTAATAACAAGTGTACAAACACTACACAATGACTAATGCATTGAGGATCCTGCTGAATGAATTTGCTGTGTGCACAAGGTGTTTTATTTACTCATGATGTGTATTGTTTGAGTCTTTTTGAATTGACTAAACTCTGGCAAGTGGCAACATGAAGAAGCCTAAATTAGTTTTGAGTGTGTTTTGGTCATTTTGTGGGTTCGGATTCGCTATTCGGTGTGTTCTTGAGGCACACCGCTGTGTCCAGGTTACAAGTGATCACCTTATCAGGGCGAATGTCACCAATGACATCAATATCAATGTTGGATCCTGGCTTGAGCTTCTTTCTGATTTCTTTCTCTCCTCTCCTGTGATTTTCTGTCTGTCCTCCCACTGTCCTCTCGAAATAAAACATTCCCAAAAATCTCCCTCACTCCACAAAATAAGCAAGTTAATAAATAATGGAAGACGACAGATATCTGAAAAGATGCCTGGCTTATTTTATTGACTCGTTGAAAACAATTGCTGTAAATATCTTTTAACCCCTTGGCTGTCACCCCCCTTTTTGAGAAAATGCACTATTCAAACTTAAATGGTTGTAATTCAAGAATTCTTTGGAATATATATACCCAAGTTTAATCTTGTTTTAAAGCAAACATTTAGCAGATTATTGCTGAAGTGAAAACACTTCAAAAAATGAAAAAGTAAGGAAAAGTTATGGAAGTTTAAATTTACAGTAAATCAAATATACTGTACTTTATATATTTTTTTATTTTATATAAAATATATATTTTACAATTACTTAAAAATTACTATAAAATCAAAGCCATGAATCTAACCAAGATATGTTCCAAGTTTGAAGTTCATATCACAAAAATTGAAGTTCCCGTGAGATTTTGTTTAGGCGTAGTACCAAAAATAGCCACCAGCTGCCATTGAATTCCATTGAATTTAGTTGTACACATTCTGCCTTTAACAAATTAATACATTTCTGTCCAAATATCAGTTCTGTCACAAAATTTGAGACCTTGAAACACAGACCTTTCTGACAATATGTGTTTTGTCAAGATTAGAAAAGGCTTTGAAATATAATGAAGCCCAAAAGGGGAGGAGCCTGATAAAATGAGTACCGTTTCTATGGTAACGCAACGTTCAATTATAAAACTGTTTTCACAGGATGAATTCTGAGTTCATAAGCTTTCAAATACCTAATTTATGATAACTACTAAAATATGTGATATAATAAAAAAGGTGATAAAAAATATTATATTTTAGAGAATTATATATATATATATATATATATATATTATCATTTTTAGAGGATAATATCATTTTAGAATTTTTTAATTGAAAAATACTAGATTATATGTTATATGTCGCACGGTGCGGGGACGGTGACAGTTAAGGGGTTAAAAAAGGTGCAAATATTGCTATTCATAACAGGTGGAAACTATTGCAAATTAGTTTGTATTATATTTGTAGGATAATGGATCAAAGTAGTAACTGGATTAGAAACTGCTTTCACTTTTCTCTATTTGGTTGAGGTTCATTTGTTGTGTCATCAAACTATATACCTTCTACATGTAGCCTGACTGACCTTATTTACTTATTATGTGATGCAATCACACACGGACGAAATGCGCAGTTTCCTAAATAATAATGAATTGCATAGGCAAGAACAAAAGTTCAAAAGATGGATTTATCATGTACTCATTCAATATTTAAATGTAGCTAATTTAAAAAAAGGTACATAGAGTACTTTAAAAATTGTTTGCAAAGAAATATCTATTGTTATCAATGTACTTGGACTGATTCATTCATCGAGTGAATAGTGTTACATAATCACAGCCACACCAACATGGGCAGCGGATATGAACAGACTTACAGACTAACCCTAACCTTATATTTCAACACAGATTTAAATATTATAGATGCAGTATAAACTAATTGTTGATTACTATAGCTTCAGAACAACAGAATTAATGCATAGAAAATGCATCAGAATATGTGCATGCGATTTTCTTTTACTAACATGAAAGTGATTAATCTAAATTTACCTTGCAGTGTTTTGTCCTGCTGTTAGTATCCTGATATTCTGTAGTCTGAACGTTTTCTGTGTGATTCCATGTCTGACTTTCCTGGCTTCACAGCAGTGAAAATACTTTCCAGTCTCACTCACTTGCTCAGTCTCAGACAATAGCCAAGAAAAGCATCAAATAAAAGTCTACAATCCAGCAAAAAATTAACAGGGTGAATATAAAAACCCAGAGTCATTTTCATCGATACACCAATATACCAGAGATAAAGACCGAAAGAGGATCTTTTTTTTGATTTACTAAACCGCATGAATAATTATAAAAAGAATTCGATTGAAAACCATCACAACCAATATATGTACACAACTTTTTGAAATGAAAAGTAAAATTGTACTTAGGATCAAACATGCTGCATATCAGATCAAGTTTCCTGCAAATGATGACCTTTGATCGTAATAAACACCCTCAATGATTGACTGAATCATCAAAAACACAGCAACCTGATGTCAATATGATGTCATGTGCATCTAATGGTAACAAGGATGGAAGAAACAAAACATTAAATTCACTTCTCGGCCACTTGGGTAGCCACCTATAACAATTAACGGACCCAGTGTCGGCAACTTCAATCTTGTTATATTATACGTTTAATGTATCTCAATGTAATTACAAATATAGTTACACTGCAACCCTCACCCAAAATATGAAGGTTCTCTCATTCTGTAACTTGTTTATAGATTTCAGTGTTACATTGTAATTATGCATTCAAGTGTGTAATAATAACAAACTTACTCTAGGGTTAGGATTAGGGTTTAGTTTAGGGCTAGTTTATAGTTATATCTCACCCCAAGGCGTCATATTGCCAAAGCGTATACATCCAACACACGGCACCCTTTATCGTCAAAATGACACGCAGATATATATGGGCCAGAAGGCCTTTCTGTCCCTCCACAGATTAAAGTCTACGCAACCAAAATGAGCATATTTTTGATCTTCCATATTTGATGTGCTCTATGTACGTGTGTTGATAAATTGTTTATGAAAAAGTGTATAAAATCCTATTTTAAATCTGCTCATCAAATAAAGTGATCAGAAGACTTGGATTAAGCCGCTTGTTTATATTCGTTTATTTGTACTTTGTGGTTGCATGGACTTTCAATGGAGGACCAAAAATGATGAAAGAATATTGAAAATATCTTCATTTGTTGATCCAAAGATCCACAGAAGTCTTCTGTCTTCAACGACATGAGCGGAAGTAAACGATGACAGAATATTCATTATTAGGTGAACTATCCCTTTAAATCTGCCCTGCCTTTAAACGTACTGTACTTCTAACCTGTATCCCAAAGGTAATAACAGCTACTTGGTTTGTGTGTTTGCAGAACAACACGTATAAATAAGCAGCTTACATTTTATAACATGCTTAATTATTAAATGCAACTAGTATAAAATATGTCTATAAAGTTATAATTCATTCACTTTTTTTAAAGATGATAGTAAAGCTGATAAAATAGACAGACGTGCAACTTTTACGTTTATATGGGAATATAGAATATTTTATACACAAAAAACATTCCGTGATTTCAAACACAAACTTTTGGTTTACAAACCAATAATAATATAATTTTAAAAAAGAAAAATGGAAAGGTGTTACTCTGCATTGTTTATTAGACGCACTGTATGCACTGTAAAAAAAATATTTTCAAGATTTGTTACCACAACATTTTTTCTTTTGTCAAATCAACTTAAATAATTTATTTAGTTCAGATAACTCATTATTTTAAGCTTCTGATGATTAAATCAATCTCCTTCATTGTATTAACTCACTTTTTCCAGTTCAATCAACTTAAAATAAGGCAACCAGGTTATTTACTTTTTAAAGTTAAACCAACAATATTTTTTTTTTTTACAGTGGAAGTGTTTTACTTGAAAAGTGAAAGAATTTAACATGAATCTGAAAGTGAAATAACCTTTGTAAGATCATTGATATGACCCTTATATGTTGTGCAGTGTGCTTTATTAAAAAAATAAATAAATAAGTAAAATCTAGATAATATTTGGAAACCAATAACTTTTTTTGTCTGGATTGTCGGTTCAGTTTTATGACATTGTAAGACACTAGGATATGACATTGTGAACACAAAGACTTCCTTCTTCCTAGAAGGTCTGGTTGTCAAACTGGATCTTCACCTGACTAGGTGAGCGCCGGCTAACAAAACTCCCTCTTCAAACGCCTCATCTGCTTGTCAAATGCTAAATGATATGCTTGAACCAAAGGTAATCTGACAAATTTGTAAATTTAGCAGCTGCCACCTGTTTTGTCACTGAAATACACACATTTTTGTAGCTCACCTATTCATCACAGGTTAATGAGGAGAGACCTACCTCTATTATTCAAAAGGAGATCCTCCTATCTTCAAGAGTTTCGGACTTCAGCGTCTTTTTCTTAATCCAGCCAGAGGGTTTCGATTATGAATAATCACAACAGAATTTCAGTGTGTCACCTGATTCTGAAGAAAACTCTGTGATATCTGACACTCCTTGTGCTTGTGTAGGAGTTTGTCCCATGTGACTTTACAAAGGGCGGAGTCTGGAGAAACGTCCACCGGGACTGGTGGGGCTGTCATCATGTGACAATACGCTCCAGTGAACACAGGCATTGTATGTCACCTGGCAGGTGTGTTTTAAGTGTGTGTGTGTGTGTGTGTGTGCACTTGTGCTATTCCTGAGTATCTACTTTCCTCATGTTCTTGGTAAATGAGTTAACCAAGCAAGTCAAGTCAAATAGGCTTCAGAGTCGAAGGACACTATAAAGTGTAAACTGTTATACAATGGGAGTAAAGTTGCTGAAATGCACAGTGGACTTTCACATCAATGTATTAAGCTCACCAAGAAACTAAAACCAAAAGCAATTTACCAATTCATATTTTAATATATCATCCATGCTCAGAAACCATAACTTAGATACCTCCCCATTATGATGTTTGATAAGACATCACCAGTAATATTGCTTCTGTAGTAGCCTACGGCTTTTGCTCAAATCCATAATTCAAACTTTTTTTATTGTGCACAACTTGTCATGGAGTATTTGTGCTATGGGCTCTGTTTTTTAAAAATGTTTTCGCAGTCTCATCCCAAAAAGTCATACAACTGACGTTTTGGGACGTCTTTTGACCATACGTCAATATTCGCCTTTTTAGGGCCCCCTTAAACGTCGGTAGATGAGGTTATGGGATCCTAACTCTACCCCAGACCTAAACTTAACCCTAAACCTAACCCTAAACCTAACTGATGTTTAAGGTAAAGCGTCAGTTGTATGACGGCCCAGGATCGCCATCTACCGACGTTTAAGGGGGCCCTAAAAAGGCGGATATTGACGTATGGTCATATGACTTTTATATATGACTTTTTGGGATAAGAATGTGTTGTTTTGGCAGACACTTACATTGAGGAAGGGACACTTCTTCAGTCTAATATACATCAGGTTTCCTCATGACCCGTCCCCCCAAACTGGTTTAGGACAAACCCTGCCCTGCAGTCATCCCAGTCATCTGTCAACAAAAGCACACGCTTCATGGATTCAGTTCAGAGCTCAGAAATGTCTTGGATGGATCAGATCATGATGAACAGAAATGTTATCTATCAGGATGTGCCACCAAGGCTATACCAAGTGTAAACTTGCAAGATATTTCTGAACTTATTACCTTTTGGTTTCCTTCTTTGGGAATGAGACATTTGTACCAGTCGCACTGAGACATTTCAAGTGATACCAAACATGTATAAAACTCTAGGATAATTGTTCACATTAAAACCATATAGCGTACATGTTGGATTTCAGATTGCGAACTGATTACAGAATGCCGATTAAAGTCGTATGAAATACAATTATAATACAATTCTAAGTTATGAGTAGCTACTGTATACTGTAGACAACTGTTTTTATTTTTAAAACGGTGTGAAAAGTAAAAATTATCATAAAATATTCATCTTTGACTTGTCAAAGTACACATTTCCTCATAGTAACTTTTTCAGCTGGCTGACCGTACAAATATTCATATGGTAGTAAGCATTTTTTAAAGGGAAATTATACATTATGACAGGAAAATGTACCTTTTGTAAAAAAAAAAATAAATAAATAAAAAAAAACTGTGGGTCTGCACATGCGCATAACCGGTAAGTAGCAAATCTCGATGGGTAGCATGAATCGTCAGAACACCGGAAGTAAATTTCCCATTCATTTCTCCCATTGACATTTAGTAAAATCCATAACTAAAGAGTATTAGAGCATGTCTGAGGATAACCAGCTACGGCTGAACTCATAAGCATATAACATATCATTTCGAGTGAAAAAACAAAGAGATAAATTGAAAAAAAAGTCAAGGGTACAAGCCTGTGTACATATTTTCATTTCCGAGCAAAGGAAGTAAAAAAAAAAAAAGTAGACCATCTTGGTATCTTTGGAATAGGCCACTCAAATTACTAGGATTTGGGACACACTAATTCTAATTTCAAATACAATTTAGGCCGGATATGTGAATTGAAACACAGCATTTAGCTAAAACACACCAGACCCACAATGAGTCTCAATGTCCATCCATACTTTCCATCCTAAACCCGTGAGATTAAAATAAGTGTTTTCTAAAGCATAGTATGTTGAAAAGTGTATGCCAGAAGTCTACTATTTCCGGCGTTCTTTTGCGAAGTGTGGATCCGAGCTCACTATAACAGCTAATATTGCCCATGCAGTTCAGAACTACAAACACGAGTAAAGAGTGTTAATAAAACTACAAAAATGGCGGATGTGCGCGACTGACGATTAAGTAGAAGCAGGGTTTGAGAGTGACTAATAATCAACATTTAAGGCAAGCTAATAAAAAACATTTATGTAATATTATCCATGTTATATTTCATCTGCAACAACAACATGAACTTTTATAAAGATTTGTTTGGCCATTGACTAATTTAAATGCATCATTATGCATTAATATGAGGAGAGTCTCCTCATGAAAGACCTGCGACTGCAGATCAACGTTTCTCTCCGACACGGTAGGATATTAAACTCAATAAAATTTTATCTTGAAAAGATGAGGCAGGATCAAGTCATGTCACTTTTTAGGCCAAAACGCGGAAGTGAGTTAGCATTTTTAGCACACCTGGTTCCCTTGCTCTAAAGTCTATGGGATTTTTGAATTGCTAAATCGCCTGAAATAACGTCTGTGATGAACAAAGGCTCTAAATATTGCATATGGCATAAAACACAGTTATAACCTGCTTGTGGTTTTTTAAACTATATTGTGTCTGCTTATGTTTTTTTAAATCTTTATATGGATGCATAGCTTTTCGATCGAGGGAACCCATGCGCCGCTAGCTTCCGAGTTGTCCTACAAAGTGACCTCATCACTTCGGCACTCTACAGTATAGTATGACGTGAAAGTAGCCTATGTCCCTGTGTACTCTTCTCCTATGTATCAAATTTTCTTCACAAAAAGAGTAGGCTACATACTTTAAGGGCAGAGTAAATATAGGTGAATAGAGACGCAGCATGTAAGTCTAGTGACGCTAAAGGCCTTGCTGGATTAGCTGCTGGTTCAGTTGTGTTCAATTGCTGTTAGGGCTGGAGCTAAGATCTGGATAGTGGCCCTCTGGGAGTAGGAATGGATTGTGTATTTTTGTCTGCACCGTCTGGTTATGCATATGTAAACCTCGCTGCTCTGGTAAACGGGGTGACCTCGCACTTATTTATCGTGACGGCTATAGGCTGTCCGATCTCTGTATCAGATTCAGAGCCATCATCTTTTGAAATCTTGGCTGTACGACTTAAAGGTTCAACTCCAACTTTTGTTGTTTTGATTTATAGAACACAAGTTATCTGCTTTGTCTACTTTTTTCAGAATTGTTTTATACGGTGACAGAGAGAGTTCAGCTCTGCAACTGAAGCAAACACATGGCAATAGAAAAAAATATGTGCAAATAGAAAAAAAAAAAACCATCGTCAGTTTCACAACACGTGTGCTCTGCAAAACGCACTGCAAAAGTTTACAACACAACCAAATACTGAAATGCACTGCACAGATCAGACCAGACACTGACCACTGACCACAAAGGAAATGTTTTATCTGTTTTATCTAAAACTAAATTAACCCATATTAATAATATTTCCCATGCTGCATTTTTCCAATTACGTAATATTACTAGACTTTGTCCATCGCTTTCTCAGCATAGCACTGAAGTCCTTATTCATACTTTGGTTACATCACAGATTTATTATTTAATGTAATTGTCTTTTATTTGCCCTTCCTGAAAAACAACTGCATAGATTATACACTGTAAAAAAATATTTTCAAGATTTGTTATCACAACGTATTTTCTTTTGTCAAATCAACTTTATAATAATTTATTTAGTTGAGATAACTTATTATTTTGAGTTTCTGATGATTAAATTAATCTCCTTCATTGTATTAACTCACTTTTTCCAGTTCAATCAACTTAAAATTTTAAGGCAACCAGGTTACTTACTTTTTTAAGTTAAACCAACAATATTTTTTTTACAGTGTATAGTAATCACAACATTTTTTCTTTTGTCAAATCAACTTAAATAATTTATTTAGTTCAGATAACATTTAATTTTGAGTTTCTGATGGTTAATCATTCTCCTTCATTGTATTAACTCACCTTTTCCAGTTAAATGAACTTAAAATTTTAAGGCAACCAGGTTACTTACTTTTTTAAGTTAAACCATTAATATTTTTCTACAGTGCAGTTAATTCAGAACTCAGCTGCTTTTCCAACTACATTGGCTTCCAGTTTGCTATCGTATCCATTACAAACTTTTACAGCTCACATATAAAGCTCTTCATATTCTGGCTCCTCTTTATCTCTCAGATCTTCTTCATTTGTATACTCCTTCACGTTCTTTGAGATCATCTTCAGGAGAATTATTGGCTGTTCCAAATTTCAAGTTGAGTACATTTGGTGCTTGAGCTTTCAAAATTATGGAGTTCTTTACCATTTCACATTTGCACATGCCCGTTGGGTTCAATTTCCATGTTTAAAGCTCATAAAACATATTAGAACAGCTTTTAGTGATTTGATTGTTTTATTTGATGATTGTGTGTTTGATCTGCGTTGTTTTTTACTGATTTAATTTTATGTTATACAGCACCTATAAATTAAAGGTATTATTATTATTATCATTTCTGTTTTACTTTTAGAGAAAATAAATTTGTGGAAAAAAAACAAACTAATGACAACATGTAAATCCAAGTTGGATTTGGAAAGCAACGTATGTGTCAAAATGTTGCATGTTGCTTTTGTACTGCTGTGAAAGTTTTCAATACATTAAAATGACACCTATCATATAAGCCATCCTAAAATCATATTGGTCTTATGATACTTAAATAATAACTGAATAAAAATCAGTGTTTGTCATTGCCCGAGTGATCCATGACCTTGTTTGTTTCTGAGTTAAACTGACTGCTGTTTTCCAGAAAAATCCCAGGTCCTGAACTTTCTTTGCTTACTTTTCCCCCTCATTCTTTGGTTATTTTC